CCTCATCTCCAAATATAGTACCACCAGATGACCATCCTCCTGAGAATATTCATGAGGGAAGCTCTATTATCCTTGTTGAATTATCCGATATTTCGAATTATTAGTTACCTTTCAGGCACAACCACGGAAAGCCACCCAATCAATATTCACCAAAAACAACGAAAGGCTCTAAATGCCCCATTGCCAACTATGTGTCATCACATAAATTATTGGAGCTCGACAAAGCTTTTGTACAACAAATATCCAATGATAGCACACCTAGTTCATTGAAAGAGGCACTATATGATGATCAAAGGACCAAGGCAATGGAGGAAGAAATGGATGCACTTCAGAAAAATCAAACATGGGATTTAGTTCCGTTACCCCGAGGAAAGAATACAGACGGATGTCGATGGGTACAAGTATAAAGTTGATGGGTCCATTGAACGATACAAAGCACGATTAGTGGTCAAGGGATATACTCAGATGTATGGTGTTGATTATACAGTAACATTTTCCCCAGTAGCAAAGATTAATACGATAAAAGTGTTACTTTCGTTGGCAGCTAACTTGGATTGGCCATTACAACAATTTGATGTGAAAAATGCTTTCTTACATGGTAATCTTAAAGAAGAAGTGTATATGGATATTCCTCCTGGTTATGCATCGGTTTCACAACCCAAAGTGGTGTGCAAGTTGAATAAGGCATTGTATGGATTAGAACAATCACCTCGGGCATGGTTCGATAGGTTCCGGTCGGCTATGAGGAAATATGGGTTCATGTAGAGTAATTCCGAGCATACACTTTTCTTGAAAAGTCAAATGGGTAAATTGATGGCACGTATTATTTATGTGGATGATATGATTGTTAAGGGTGATGATAAAGAGGAAATCTCAAGGCTGAAAGATTACCTAGCAACTGAGTTCGAGATGAAGGATCTTGGTCGATTGAAATATTTCTTGGGGATAGAAGTAGCTCAATCTAAACAGGGTATATTTCTACCTCAAAGAAAATATGTTCTAGACTTGTTAGCTGAAACTGGAATGCTTGATTGTTAACTGGCTTACACTCCCATTGTCCAAAATCACCACCTTACCATGCACCCTGTTCAAGTTCCTACTAACAGAGATCGTTATCAAAGGTATATGTAGTAAGTGTTGGTAGTCAGTTCATGCATTCCACGAATGATACACATATGGGTGTGGTTGAATGCATTCTACGATATAAAGTCATCCTCGGGTAGAGGCATCATGTTTTCCAAGAATGGTCATTGCTAGATAGAAGGTTATACTGATGCAGATTGGGCAAGGAACATTACTAATCGGCGGTCCACATCTGAATACTTTACATTTGTGGGGGGAAATTTAGTGACTTGGCAGAGTAAGAAACAGAAAGTGGTTGCTTTATCAAGTGCAGAGGCGGAATATAAAGGTATGGCAAAAGGAGTATGTGAACTATTATGGCTTCGAAGGTTACTTGCAGAGCTTAGGTGTCCTTCAAAGTTGGCATCCAATTTGTTTTGTGATAATAAAGCAGCTATTGCTATCTCACACAATCCAATCCAACATGATCCTATAAAACATGTGGAAGTTGACAGACACTTCAATAAGGAGAAGTTGAATGGGAATATTATTCAATTCCTGTTCCTAAAGTCAAAGGATCAATTAGCGGACATCTTAACTAAAGTTGCAAGTCAAGCGTTCTACAACTCTCTCGTCAAGTTGGGCATGAACGACATTTATGCACTAACTTGAGGGGGAATGTTGGAGAGTTGACCTTTGTAATTAGTTTAGTTACCTGTTTGGGTCCTTGTAATCAGGATGTAATTAGGATATATGTTCTTTCCTTGTAAATCAATTTTATACAATATATATTTTCCTCCTTGGTGAGAAGAATAATAAGACAGAATTAAACCCTAAGATAAGGCCTAATTAGCATGGTATTAGAACCAAGGAATAGGCACATACTGTATTGCCACGTGATGGATGGGTCCCCTTGGCCCCGCACGATGATAGTGGTCCCTTGGCCCTACGTGTAGGGTGAGTCCCCTTGACTTTACGTGGTTGTCCATGTGTGGATCTCCCATGTGTGACCCACTAATTGGGTCTCACGTAAGGAGGCATGTTGAAATGTCCCACATCGATCGTATCTATGAGAAAAGAAGAGTTTTAAATATGTTAACCCCACTCCCACATCGACAGTATCGGTGTTGTTGAAAATGGGTATCTCTCTGATAATTCTGCGTTGTTGACGACTACATACACATTGAGAATTTAGCTTATGTCTTTGTGTCTGATTTACTAAGAGTAAGAAGTAACGAGAGAAGGAAATGGATCAATTTTCAAATTTTTGCACTTTGTTTGTTCTTATAAGAAGGAAATCAGTTGTTCCAACCTTATCTTCCAACTCTCTATTTTCCAATTGTATTTTGGTGTCATTCCATTTTAATCTTAGTTCCATTCAAATGAAGACATTTGAAGAACCTAACGTAAAACATCTGTACAAGCAAAACGCAACTTAGCAATGCCAAGAAAATCATCTACGAGAGTTGATCCAATCTAGGCAGGCTGTATAGGGGGTTATTGAAGACAAAGATGCCAAGATCCATATTAAAACTCCAATTTGGCAACTGATGAGCAACACAATTCCGCTCCCTGAAAACATGCTTCATGCTTCAGCTCAGCTCACATCTAACCAATTGACTCATCAATGTTTTGCATCTGCTCACAATTGTATCAAGTATCAAGAGGATAATAGCTATCAACTAGATTTTGTTAGAACAAAGTGACAACAAACACTTGTGTCAATAAAATCCCCTTGTCCCAAATTGCCAGAGAACTCCATCCGTATCAATCTTGAACCATCAACACTAAGCTTATACCAACGAATATCAGGAGGTTCCCAAGCAATGGAAGCAACCTTCTATTAGGTTTATGGGGGAGAACCAACTCAAGCTTTCACCCTGTTCTCGACTTTTTGCGTGTTTACTAACAAACATGGAATCTAAAGGGCTAGTTGATTCGTAACTCAATACTTGAAAATCATGAATCAAATCAAAATGTTTATTTTTTATTGGTAACACATTTGTAAATTTGGTTTAAAAATTTAGTTACTTGATATTATCCTATTGCAAGTATCTTTTGACAAATAAAAAATACAAAGAAAGATAATTTTGGGTGGTGATATTCATATACCCATTTTTACCTTTCACACACCTCCATTATTTCCCGACTATCAATCAATTAAAATAGTCAAATGACATAAATTAATAAGTGATGTGTGAGAAGTAGAAATAAGTGTGTGAAGGCCATAACTGTAGCTCTAAAAGCACTCAAGGTTGCAAAATGTTTCTAAATCTTTTTTTTTTTTAATTTAGTTTCCTTTCAATTGAGACAGAAACTCCTTATATGTTGCTTGATTTACAGTTGTTTCAGAACCAAGGCCTTAATCTGAAAGCACTCAAGTTGGCATGTGTCCATGGAATTGCAGTTGAGGTTTGGTGGGGAATCATAGAGCGTCTTTCTCCTCTTGCATATGATTGGTCTCTATATGAAGAGCTTTTCAAACTGATTTCTGACTCAGGTTAGGTTTGAAGTTGCATGTTGCCTTATCTTTTCACTCAAACGTTAACTCTTCTTCTAGCAGAAAAGGGGGTGTTACTCTTCCACTTTGGATCATAGAGGTTTGTCTTCTTTGATATTTTGAAATCCCATTTGAAGTTAGTCTGGTACAATGCACATGGCCGTATTGCAAAGCTTAATTTACCTGGTCATACTATAACCCATTTGGATGACTAGAGATAATATCAATGTTTCTTCTATTTCGTGCTCTGCAACGTGCTATAGTATTGTGTTCCCCATTAGCATACTTGATTTTAGCTTTGATGTGGCTAAAAAGTTTATCAATGCAAAGGAATGTGAAAGAAAAACTATAGTTTGGCCTTCATTACAAACCTATCAGTTTGAATCTTGAATCTAGATAAAGAAGTTGACCTCTTCTTTTTTCCTCCTAGATTGGTGATCAGAATAAGCATATATATTATTGGGACCAAAATGGATTTTCCAAAGATGATTATCTTACACTGGGAGTCGATCATGTTCCTCTCTTTTGCGAACGGACTGCCAATGATTTCTTATGCAACATTGTTACATTGTTAGGAAGATTTCATGTCAAGTTCTGCTAAGAAATTTGAATTCTTAATCGGAACTGTAATAGAAGAAATTAGTGTTGGTCTTGGTCCTTCTGGTGAACTTAAGTATGTTATAGTTGCACTAGAACTATGAGTATGAAGCCAGTCCAATGATTTCTTATGCAACATTGTTACATTGCTCACACAGATAACCTACACATCGTTTTGGTGATGGTAGCTGGAAGTTTCCTGGAATCGGTGAATTCCAGTGCTATGAGAAGTACATGTATCTTAAAAATTTTTCATTCCTCTGACGGAAATTTGGTTGCTATTGAATTTTTACTATTTACAACCATGTTCCTTTTAGGATGGGTGACCTAAAGATGGCCGTACGCAAGGAAGGAAAACCTCTGTGGGAAGAGAAGGGACCACAAAAGGTTGGCTGTTACAACACTCCCATCTGAAGTCCCTTTCTTTGGAGAGGGAGAGGAAAGCTTTCTTTCTGATTATGGGTGTTTTTTTCCTTGTATGAAACAAATTAAAGCAGCTTACTTAAAAATTTCTGCATGTAAACAATATGGGCCTGCAATATATATTTTAAATCTTTAGGGCTGAAAATTGGAGTAACTTCGTTCCTTTTGTTAAAAAGATGAGAACAAATTGGTAAAGCAGCCAAAAAACGCAACTTACCAGTAAGTTTATTGAACTACCTAAAGGAGCAGCCTCAATGCCCTATAATTTTTTGTCAAGGGCATGTGTACAAGTTTGTAACTTCCTTATATGTTGATTGAAATAAGTTTGTGTTCCCATGACAGGCATTCTTGAGCTGGAAGTGTAAATTTTTTGAAATGGATTTGGTTGGCCGTAGAAACTGAATGCTTTACTACCAAATATGGGAAAAATAATTGGAATTGCAATTTTGGTACTACTGGTCTCATTGCATTGACAAATCCATGTACGACATTTCAATTTTAGGAATATCGTCATCTTCTCATATCCGTCACTATGAGAAAATAATATAGTCTTTGCAAATTGAAAACAACAATAAGAAAATGGATCCGAAAATATGGAGAACAAAGAGAACTAAGAGTTCACTCCTCCACAGTCCTTCAGATACTTCGTCTTGATTTTGGTGAGTGTGATTGCGGCATCTTTCATGTTAATCCTCTCTCCTGGCAATGCTGTAGAGCAAGCTAAAGCTAATCTCATAACGGATAATAAGCAATCCCTTCTGCTCACAAAATCACTATCTTCCTCCACCCCAAGTATATCGGCATCCACAACTTCACCTATTGCAGCATCTGGAAATAACGAATCTGCAATCCATTGCTTTAAATCCATTTCCCCAACAAACATCTCATCTGTTGGCTTCCTTTTTGTGAATGTCTCCATGAGTACAATACCAAAACTATACACATCCCCTCTTGTCGAAACGCTTCCTTCCATCCCAAACTCTGCAAAATTTGTATGTGAATTTACTTATAAATGATAAAAAGAAAATTATAACTCCTAATAAGACCAACGTATACAAAATTGAGAAAATACATCACCTGGAGCCATATATCCAATTGTGGCTAGGGTCATGGTTTCTGTCATCGAATCTGCACTGCCGATGAGTCTTGCAATGCCAAAATCAGCAACATGTGCAACCAAATCATCATCTAGTAGTATATTGCTTGGTTTCACATCACAATGAACGATAGGTATCGAGTAACCATGATGAAGATATTCTAGTGCCAATGCAACATCTTTCATTATGTCTAACCTCTGTAGGATAGTCATGGAGCAGTTTGGAGAATACAACCAGTTTTCGAGGCTTCCATTAGGCATCAATTGAAGTATCAGGGCTTTGAAATCAAGTTCATCACAACAACTTATGATTTTAATAAGATTCCGGTGACGGAGATTGCTTAGCATTTCACATTCCTTATCAAAACTCTTGAATGCCCCTTCTAGCTGTAAATTAAATACCTTGACGGCAATATCTATCCCGTCTAAAAGTGTTCCTCTGTATACTGAGCCAAAACCCCCCGTGCCTAGTAAGTTACTCTCATGAAATCCATTTGTTGCCCTTACAAGTTCTAGGCGCGAAACTCTTCTCCAAAGAACTTGATGTAGCGAGGCAGTTTCTCTAACAACTTCGACATTCCTTTTCTTGCATAGTATCAGAATCAATGCAGCGGCTGCTAGCAGTATTACTGATATGACCCCTGAGATGATATATTTAGCTTTTCTCCAATTTGGCTTAACTTTTGTTCTATTTTTGCATAGTGGAACATGGAGTCGGGAAGCACTGCAGAGTGCACCGTTTGGTACAAATGAATCAGCAGAGAAGTTTCTGAAAGGCCCGCCGGTTGGAATTTCTCCTTGGAGTTTGTTGAAAGACAAATTCAGATACTTCAGATACAAGAGTGCTTCCAATGACTTTGGGATCACTCCAGATAGATTGTTTTTGGACAAGTCCAAGAATTCTAGGCTTAGCAAGGTTTTAAATGAATTGGGAATAGGGCCTTCTAAATAATTGTTTGCCAAGGACAAATTAATCATATTTTGAAGACCACCAATGCTACCGGGAATGTTTCTGGAGAAGTGGTTATTTGATAAATCCATATCCACCACATCTTTCAACTTTCCTATGTCTTCTGAGAGTGGTCCAACTAGAGAATTGGATGACAAGTTTAGGTGCAATATATACTTAAGTTCCCACAAGGAAGATGGTATTGTAGAAGTTAACAAATTGGACCCTAATGATAGACTTCTTAGAGCTACTGACAAAGTACCCAAACAGGAAGGAATAGAACCAGTGAGCCGATTACCACCCAAACGTAAATCGGCTAGGTTGTTTAGTTGACAGAGTTCATACGGGATATGTCCTTGCAGTACGTTATCATTCAAATACAAAGCTTGGAGATTTTGTAGCCTTTGTATTGAAGTTGGAATTGCTCCACTCAACTGATTGTTTCCCAGGTCTAATGCTATCAAGCTGCTCAAGTTGCCAATGTCAACTGGAATGTTACCCCTGATGTTGGAAATGCTTAAATCAACATACAGGAGTGACGTAGAGAGATTGCCACGAGAAGCTGGAATCGTGGTGTTTAGAGGATTATCTCCCAAGTATAATCCTGTCAAATTTCTATGGTTAAACAAGCAAGAGAAAGTGCTTGCTGCTTGTGGAGTAGAAGCATCAATCGTCAAATGATTCGAGTAAAAGGAAAGATACTCGAGGTTTTTCAACGAACAGAGTGTGATAGGAAGAAACCCGGTAAATGTGTTTAAACCCATGTCTAGCTCCCTGAGCTTGGAAGCATTGGAGAGGTTAGGGAGTGGTCCAGCCATAAGGTTATTTTGGGCTACAAAAAGGAATTCTAGGTTTGGGACGTGAAGACCTATGTTTGCTGGGAGGCTACCTGAGAGCTGATTAATAGAAACCTCTATTACTTTTATCATGGAGTTGTTGAAGAGTTTGGATGGGATGACGCCACTGAGACTATTAGTATGCAGTGTCAATATCTCTAAATGTGGAAGATCGCCAATGTCATCTGGTATTGTACCTGTCACGATTTCAGAACGTTTGTATTAACTTTGTAACTTCATTCAACTAAAAACTAAAAACAAATTGATTATGAAACGCCCCCAAATTTATTACCTGTTAAATTATTATCACCAAGACGAATCTCGGTTAAGTAGGTCAAATTGCCAAGACATTTGGGTATAGGCCCGTGAAGCTGGTTTTGACCGAAATTAATTACTCGAATACTCGAGAGATGCTCACACATATTTTCCGGAAGACTGCCACTCATTTTGTTTCCGTATAGACTGAAAGTAGTCAAAGAAGAAATGTTGAGGACAGGCACAAAAGCAGAGCCTTTTAGGGCATTGTCCTGCACAAACAAGTCCTCCAGCAGACCTAATCTGCCTATCTCGTTCGGAAGTTCTATAAAATCAATGCATTTATATTGTTAAAATCATGTATACATATATAGGAGCAGCTTCTTAGTGGGAATCCTGTTGTACCGTAGCAAAAGTGGGATGCATTCTAAGGACCATGTACTCACTATATATGACCTCTGTTTTGCTCTAGAATATGATGGTCTTACACGGTAAATATACGATCCTACAATAGTCCTTTCATCTCATTTTTTGATGAAGTTGAACAAGATCCCAGCTAAGAAGGGTCTTATATATATATATAACAAAACCTAAGTCATACAGTATACCTTCGAACTTGTTGTCGTCAAGGTGTATGCCCTTCACCATTGTTAAGTTGCCGATTTCTCTGGGTATGCTACCTGTTAAATATGTGCATGCATGCCAACAAAAAAGAAGGGAAAAAAACAAACGAGATGATTGCTATACATTTTATAATATAGAGTTAAAATGTAACATAGATGTTAAATGTAACGAAGCAAGCAACACTAATTTATATGCCTAGGTGGTTGGTAATAGTGCTACGTACGTACCTGATAGTTGGTTACTACTCATATCAATTATTTTGAGTGCAGATAAGTTGAAGATAGCAGCGGGTATGAAACCAGAGAAGCCGTTATCCAACAATTTGAAGGTTTGAAGTTTAGGGAAGGACCCAAACCACGAAGGAATGGTTCCCATAAAGTTGTTGTTTTGAAAGTTAATCGCCTTCAACCGGCGCAAACGAGACAGTTCTTGGGGTAGGGGACCATGAAAACTATTATTCTCAAGGCCCAACTCAACGAGAAATGAGAGGTTGCCTAGATGCGGAGGAATAACCCCGGCAAGACCCATGTACGAGAGATTTAAGGCTGTGACTCTGTGGTGGTGAGCACCACAGCTAACACCAACCCATTTGCAAATGTCGGAATTGGAGTCAGAGGACCAGTTGGCTGTCAAGATGTTTTGAGGGTCACTAGTGATGTGAGCTTTGAGAGCAAGGAGCGCAGACTGATCTGTGCTGAAATTGGTATGAGCTATTGCTAATGCATCTGCAGTTAAGTAATTAGCCATAATCATCATAAAGATATAACACAAGCAGTAGTGTATCATCGACAACATTTTCGACAATAGGAAATTACTTCTCTCCTCCGTATATACGCACACACTGGGTATATGCTCTCTATAATTGTAGTAGTTTTCGTCTTTCAGCTTTAATTCGAGAGAAAACTTGAACTCATTATATAGGGAAGCAAGTTGGTGTTACCAAGACTTATGCACGACTCAGACTTGCCCGGCTTCAACGTTGAAGTAAGGAGGACTTAGACCTAACTTATTCCACTAAAGTTCCACTGTCTAGTGTGCACTAATTGCTCTACCAACTTAAACTTTATTTGATCCCATATAATCTCTATCTACATCCGACTTAAATTTTAAATGTTAATTGTTTTTTATACCCTATTACTTAATTACCACTAAGTACAAGATGACATTAATAAAACTAAAATTTATTAATAAACCCACAACCAATAATCAAACCCTAACATAGAGAAAAACAAGCTCTTTTTGAACAATTATCAAACTAAAGTATGAATTGATTTATCCAAGTTTGATTTCAATTTTTTTTTAGGAATTAGAAACAAAATCAGCGCCTTTTCCAAAGTATAATTACTAGTCGAAACATATATGAGATTTTCAATATTAAAGTCTGGCTACTTGTGTGAATGTCACGCTTTCTTTTCGTTTCATTCGTGAAGGGTGGAGGCTATTGAAGATCAACACCAGCCCAATTGGTGTTTGGATCCTAGAAAAGTCTAGCAAATACAAGCAGCAAGCTTGGAAGGTAGAAGCTTCTAGAAGGCTTTGTCCAGCTGCAAATGAACTAGACCATTCTAGTTCAAATTTGCATGATAAAGTCGGTGTGCATGCATAATAAGCTAGAAGGTTCTAGCAGCTTGTAGTATTGTATGGATATTGCAAAGCCTATGTCGGTGATGGTGCAATGCATGATAAGTAGCTAGAGAGTTCTATGTTTAAAGTCGGCAAACATGCCCTATAAATATGGGTGTGGTGCTATCAACAAATCAACAAATCAACAAGCAAGCTTGTAAGCAAGCAAGCAAGTGAGAGTGAGAAGAAAGAATAGTCTTGTAAGAGTGTGAGTGTTCTAGAGTTTGTCTCTAGAAAGTGAGTGAGTGTCATCATAGCTTCTCAAGAGTGTCTTTGATAGTTTGTGTTGTAATATTTTGTTTGTGTAATACAAGTAATTTGTTTACTTGTATTGTCTCTCCAACACTTGTGCTAGAGTTGTGTACTCTAAGTTTTTTTTCAACAATTGGTATCAGAGCGGTACGATCAGGGACCGTCTCTATTGAAGCTTTTGAGAATCGTGAAAAGTTTAGTACTTCGCAAGATTATTCGTTAATCTTGTTCGGCTTATCGAAGCTCTGCCGACACGATGGGAGATCTTCAAGTTGTTGGAGTAATCAAGAAGTTGAACAACAAAAATTACAACACGTGGGCGACGTGTATGGAGTCTTACCTACAAGGCCAAGATCTTTGGGATGTCGTCGACGGTAATGAAGTTACGCAGCCAGAAGAAGACACCACCGGCGCTTTGAGGAAGTGGAAGATCAAGGCAGGTAAGGCCATGTTTGCCTTAAAAACCACAGTTGAAGATGACATGTTGGAGCACATACGGAAGGCCAAGACACCAAAAGAAGCGTGGGACACCTTCGCCACACTCTTTTCAAAGAGGAACGATACAAGATTGCAGCTTCTCGAGAACGAGCTATTATCAGTGGCCCAAAGGGACATGACGATTGCGCAGTATTTCCACAAGGTAAAGTCTATTTGCCGTGAAATTTCTGAATTAGATCCTAGTGCTGGCATTGTAGAATCCAAGATAAAAAGAATAATTATCCATGGATTGAGACTCGAATATCGAGGCTTCGTTGCCGCTGTACAAGGATGGCTGACCCAACCATCACTTGTTGAGTTTGAGAATTTGCTTGCCGATCAAGAAGCTTTGGCAAAGCAAATGGGAGGGGTCTCGTTAAAAGGTGAGGAGGAAGCGTTCTACACCAAAAGTAAAGGCAGCTTTAAGCAGCGTGCTGGTGGTAGATCTAAAAGAAATGGTGACAAGGAAAAAGGTCATCAAGGAGGATGGAGTTCTCGGCCAGGGGGAGCTCCGAAGTATCACGGCAACCGTGGTCAGTCCCAGAATAATAAAAGATTTGAGGGCAAGTGTTACAATTGTGGAAAGAATGGCCACATGGTGAAGGATTGCTGGTTCAAAAGGCTTGCAGAAAGTAATGTCGCCAACTCAGAGAAGAAAAGTGAAGATGATTGGGACGTCATTGCGTCTCTAGCCCTGGAGGAAGAATGGGACGGTAAAGCATCTATTGCTACAGAGAAGAAAGAGTCAGCTCTCACAGCAACAAGTCTGGAATCAATTGACTACCAGAATGATTGGATCGTGGATTCAGGCTGCTCAAACCATATGACAGGTGATGAGAAAAAGTTACAAAGTCTGACTGAGTACAAAGGAGGCCGCTTAGTGGTGACGGCTAATGACTCGAGGCTACCGATTGCTCACATCGGTAAAACAGTAATTGAGCCCCGATACAGCACTAACCATGTCCCGCTTCAAGATGTCTACCATGTTCCAGGTATGAAGAAAAATCTGCTTTCAGTGCCGCAACTGACGTTGTTGGGAAATTATGTCTTGTTTGGTCCACGAGATGTGAAGGTGTATCGACACCTCAAGATCTTAGGGACGCCAAAAATGGAGGGACGGCGACTGCAGTCAGTCTATGTAATGTCAGCAGAAATTGCATACATAGACAAGACAAGGAAGAACGAGACAGCAGATTTATGGCACATGAGATTGGGACACGTTAGCTATCACAAGCTAAATGTGATGATGAAGAAGTCAATGCTTAAGGGGCTACCTCAGCTTGACGTGAGAACAGACACGGTTTGTGCAGGATGCCAGTATGGTAAAGCACATCAACTACCATACGAAGAGTCGAAGTTTAAAGCGAAAGAGGCGTTGAAGTTGGTTCATTCTAATGTGTTCGGGCCCGTCAAGCAACCATCGATAAGTGGGATGCGGTACATGGTGACGTTCATTGATGACTTCTCGAGGTATGTGTGGGTTTTCTTTATGAAAGAAAAATCTGAAACATTTTCAAAATTTAAAGAGTTTAAGGAGACAATTGAAAGAGAAGTAGGAAAGAAGATCCGTTGCATACGCACAGATAATGGAGGAGAATATACCTCGAATGAGTTTTCCCAGTATCTACAAGAATGTAGAATACGTCACCAGTTCACATGTGCCAATACTCCACAACAGAATGGCGTAGCGGAAAGAAAGAACCGGCATCTTGCAGAAATATGTCGAAGTATGCTCCATGCCAAGAATGTACCAGGAAGGTTTTAGGCCGAAGCAATGAGAACTGCAGCTTATGTGATCAACAGGCTTCCTCAACCCAGGTTAGAATTTGTCTCACCCTTTGAGAAACTGTGGGATATGAAACCTACAGTTAGTTACTTTCAAGTCTTTGGTTGTGTGTGCTACGTATTTGTTCCAAGTCATTTACGTAGCAAGTTTGACAAGAAGGCAGTCTGATGTATCTTTGTGGGATACGACAGCCAAAGAAAAGGGTGGAAATGTTGTGATCCTACGAATGGAAGGTGTTACACGTCACGAGATGTGGTGTTTGATGAAGCATCTTCTTGGTGGTCCTCAGAAAAAGAGGCGTTGCCTGATTCAAGAGAGATAGAAGATAAGTTGCAGCAAAAGATAGGGGAGCAAATTGTTCAAATCCAGTCGAGACCTGATGAGTCTGAAGATTCGCTTGATGGTGATGATGTTGAGCAAGCAGTACCCCAAAACCCTTGGCAAGCTGACGTATATCAACAACCAGAAGAAGATAGACCTAGTGAAGTGGAAGTATCAACTCCACAAGCACAACTAAGGAGGTCAACAAGAATCCGGAAGCAAAATCCGAGATACGTTAGCGCAGCCATAGAAGAAGAAGCAACTGGACCTGAGTGCTTCAAAGTTGGGAGAAGAGGTCACTACGGTAGAGCTAAATCAAGCTTGGAATCTAGTGCCAAAGCGAAGAGATGTGAAACCCATATCATGCAAATGGGTGTTCAAGAAAAAGCTTTGTCGTCAACTCGGCATGGAGGAAAGAATAAGCTGGTGTTGAGGGGGAGTGTTAAAGATCAACACCAGCCCAATTGGTGTTTGGATCCTAGAAAAGTCTAGCAACTACAAGCAGCAAGCTTGGAAGGTAGAAGCTTCTAGAAGGCTTTGTCCAGCTGCAAATGAACTAGACCATTCTAGTTCAAATTTGCATGATAAAGTCGGTGTGCATGCATAATAAGCTAGAAGGTTCTAGCAGTTTGTAGTATTGTATGGATATTACAAAGCCTATGTCGGTGATGGTGCAATGCATGATAAGTAGCTAGAGAGTTCTAGCATGTTTAAAGTCGGCAAACATGCCCTATAAATATGGGTGTGGTGCTATCAACAAATCAACAAATCAACAAGCAAGCTTGTAAGCAAGCAAGCAAGTGAGAGTGAGAAGAAAGAATAGTCTTTTAAGAGTGTGAGTGTTCTAGAGTTTGTCTCTAGAAAGTGAGTGAGTGTCATCATAGCTTCTCAAGAGTGTCTTTGATAGTTTGTGTTGTAATATTTTGTTTGTGTAATACAAGTAATTTGTTTACTTGTATTGTCTCTCCAACACTTGTGCTAGAGTTGTGTACTCTAAGTTTTTTTTCAACAGAGGCCATACTTTGCTTGTAGTTTTGACAGTAGTGCATAGCAGCAATATAGCGACTGTCTTGAATTTGAAGGTGCTGAGTTCCTTCTATCCGGTGAAACAAATGTAAAGTCTCCAAAAGCTTCCCTGTCTTCGTTTTGTTTCAATCAATATTATTTTTTCATAATTTAATTCGGTTGTTGGATGTTGAAAGTATATTAATTTCATGAAAATATAGGAACGTGAGGTTCAAGCAGGCATAGAAAATATGCCTTCATTTTTAGGGGTGAATTTTTTTCTCTTGATTATCAAAACATAATCATGTTTTGATTATGAGATTAGTAGGTACCCTTATAGTCATGTAATGTGTGCCTCTACTTCTCAGCAAATTGATGTAGGCATTGGAAGGCTATCAACCCTCAGCTGGTGAGACTTTATGAAATGCTTAGAGTGGAAGACAGAGTTTGAGATAATCTTCGTCTCCTTCAACTATGATGAGGAAAAATTCAATGAATACTTCAAGTGAATGTTGTGGCTAGCAGTGTCATTCGATGCTAATCTTTCATAAAAGATTGAGTGATGTGTACCACTTAGACGAAGTGGCAGAATATTGATTTTGAGTTTTTATTTTCTAAATATGTGTAAAGATAAATTTATATATTGAATTG